TTTTTTTTTTTTTTTTTTTTTTTTTTTTTTTTTTTTTCTTTACGAAGGAATCGTTTCTACAATTAACATTCGATAATCTCTTTCTTTCGCCGCGAATAAAAAAAAAAAAGTGTGATGTAATATGCCCGAATCGAGAATTAATTTGAGAATATCAAAGTAATAATCCTTTTTTTAATATTAATTCAACATTTCGGTAATAACTCCTTTGTAAAAAATTCAATTTTCTTCGATACCGTTGTCGAATAAAGTGAAATAAAAAAAATGAAAAATATAACATCGATTGTAATAATGACCGAATTAATTCGAAATTTCGAAGTGAACGTAGAACGAGCCGCGCATCGACGCAATGTGAAGTACTTATGATTGCGAGCGAAGAAATCCTTTTTAAAATTAATTATAAAATAAACGTTTCTCCTTTGTCGAATCGAGCAAAAATTCAATTTTCTTCGATACTGGTGTCGAATAAAATAAAACTAAAAAAAGGTATTACGACATCGATTGTAATAACGATTATAATATTATATAATCGAATTAATTGGAAATTTCGAAAGTAACGGCGCATCATTATGAGATAGAATATTTGTAATCGTATTCGCGAAGGAATCCCATTTAAAATTAACTTCAACGTTCGAACAATCTTGCTTCGATGGGGCAAAAATTAAATTTTTCGATACCCTGGCGTGGAATAAAATTAGAGATATCGATCGTAATAATACAATTCGAATCATCGAGATTGAATTCGAAATTTCAAAGTAACGGGAGGGGATGGAATAAACGCGAAGCGAGGAGAAATAACTTGTTTCGAGTTGAAACGTTGCTCACAGGAGGCTGTTGGAATTTTTTTTCAGATGGAAACGAAGGGGGAGAGAAAAAGTAATTGCAAAGTGGCGATGATCCCCTGCTACTAACAGAGTGTGGAGAATTAACCGAGTTGTTGAAGTGAGAGCCGCATTAACGTGTTATTAACGTCATGTAACCAACATCGCGAAAGTAATCATGGAGAAGGTATGCAGGCCTGCTTGGAGTAATCCTCGACCCATCAAGGGTAAGTCGATTTTCCTTTCTTTCTCTTTTTACCAACCAATCTTATCGTTTATTTATTTATCGATTAACCGCATGCGCTTTTCTCTTCTCTTTTTTTTGCCTCTCCGCGGGAGAGAAGAAACGAGCATAATCATCTTGTCCCGTTCCCAGGGCAAATGTTTCTTCGCGGACGGATCAATTACGAGTAATAAATTGGCGATCAAAGAGATCAGACGCCGGAAATCGGATCGAAAGCAAACCTGGAATCGAATCGAAAGCAAACCTGGAATCGAATCGATTTAGTTGGATCGAAACAAAATTGAATCGTATAATTCGATATGCTCGATCGAGGATGATCGACGATGAAATCGAAGCTC